TTTACAAAATTAACAAAACGTAAATCTTTATATACCTTTTGTGTATGACCTTTTCAAGTAGGCTTGTGGAAATAAAAACCTAAGATACATACAACAAATAAAATTTTGCTTATCTGTAGATATATTTTCTTAAAACTTATCATTTATAAGGGGAAAAAAAGAAGACGACAAATTCCCAATTATAAACCATAGGCACCGCACCACCAAACTTGGTAATGGTCCATTCTATAAAAGGGCAAAGGTGAAAGGGGAAAGCAAGTTGTGGTGTAATTATGTAATCAATGAATTAACAAGACGAAGACAAAGATGACAATGACGTGTAGGAAAAAAAGGAGAAGGCAAGTTGAAACATAAAGTGATGATGGGGTGTTGCGCAAACGCGGTTGGTTTAGACTTTAGGAAGAAACTACAAATTCAAGAGAGCCAGAAATTTCTGTTGAAGCGATGACGCGCAATTTTTTTACAACACGGGAGGCTTATAATTGATCACCAACACCCAACACAAATTAAAGATATAGACAGAGAGATAAAAATATAGACTACTTAGAGAGAGAAAATTTTAAAATAATTAAAACAAACTAAAGAATAGTCTTTTATGGAAATGCGTGGAGCCGTAAAGACAATACAAGAAGCAGACGCCCGCAGCAGAAGAAAAAAGAAGAAATTTTATTTTGACTGAATTAACCATCTGCTTTTCTTCTTTCTAGAGGCAAGCAAGTTTGAATTAAGGGTGGTTTTGTTTGTTTTCATGTGTATAATCACGGTGCGTCTTTTTTTTGGTCTGTTTAGATTAAACTTATGATGATTGGCTTTAATGTCATCGACGTAGTTTGTTTAAGTTGCGTTTTTTAAGTCCTGGGGGATGTACGTTGCTATCTATTTGGTTCTTTCCGGAATTGGAATAAAGGAAGAAATTTTGTTTCTGGGTTCAATAGTAAATATATATATTCTGGGTTTTGGCTTTTGATATTGGATAAATGAAGAACAAAACCGAGGACAAATACTTGTATTCAGATTAAGCTCAGTTTGTGCTTATGTTTATATGATCCCAGGTGATGAAAATTTTATCTTTTGTATAATCAGAGTTGCCATAATTTTTTTTTTCTGTAAACCAATATTAAGAAATCAAATGCATCCTTGTACATTTATAGCTAAAATAATTGATGAGTTTTTGTGTTCTATTGTGGTTTGTGGATATCTTGAAGAAGAGAAGTTGTAGACCATTGAATCTGTGCTTCTGTCTGCAGTTTTCTTTGTACTTCTTGATTGGGTTGAGGCATTGGCTTTTATTTGCTAAGGTTGCTGTGATTCTGGGTTGTTGGTGATTACATTGGTGTTGAATTATTTGTTTTTTGAAGTTATTTATAAGAATCTTTAGTTCTCATAAAATAACAACCTGTAATTCTATTGATGATCTACAAATAATATGTAATGCGGTCCTTTGGACAATCTGAGTATGATCATATTTCTATGTCAGTTACTTTTTGTGAAGAAGATTACTTAAGCTCAGTTACGGAGATTATGAATTGTGTGCTTAATGGGTTTTAACATGGAAAACAGACTCAAGTTTGTAGATGTATATTTTATGTTCTGTTTATATTTTTTTATGGTAACAAAATCATTTAGTTTGGTTCTTGTGACTATATTTCCAGGATAATTCATTGGTTCCCATGAACCACCCTTGTCCCTTTACTGGCTGGTTCAGAGCTGAGAGAACAACGAATGATGTTATAATATTCTGTTGGGCATCTAGATTTGGCTTTCTTTTGCATAATCTGAAGAAGGATCTGTAGTTGAGATGGCATTGAATTTGGTAGATAGATTGTAGAAGCCTCTGCCATAGATTTAGCTTTTATTTTGGTGAATGTACTCTTTATTTCTTGGGAATTCTAGCCAGTGAACTTAAATTCTCAATAGTACCGTCGATAGCATTGAGAAACTTGAGTTCCATTGGTTCATTGGAGACATCAAAAATGATATTTATTCAGGAAGATGCTTAAGAGTGGTTAAGTAATAGAGCACACGAGATTAGATAATAAGGAAATAAAAGAGGATCCTTTTGAACATTTGAAAAGAAACATACTCAACTTTGGAGATGGGCTTGCCTCAGGTGTCTTCTGGAGGTATTGCTGAGGAAATGGCTGCATCCGTTAGCAATTTTGTGCAAACCCCACGAATTGTTAACGTGGGTAGTTGTGATTTAGTTGGGATGCATGGAGGAAATGTTGGCAATAGAATGCAGATAGATTTTCCGTGCTCTTCTTTTGGAGATTACCCCAGGAAAATCATTTCAGAGCTTCCCAAGGAGTCAAATGTTTTGCATGTGTATAAAGATGGTAGATCAAATATACAAAGTCTGAATAATGGCTCTATGGAACAGAATGGATGGCTCACCAAAAGTGGGCAGAAAACTCAAACGTCCCTTCCCAGGATTGTGGGTTTTGAATCAAAGGCATTGCATTCCCATGCTGCTGCATTTAATAGAAACCAGTCTTCATCTCCTGTGGTGAATATGAATAGTAATGCAGCTGAGGCCACTGGTTCACTGGCCAGGAAGCGGTTACTATCTCCTTTGAGTGAAATGCTTCTCCCTGATCAATTTGATGGTGATGCTCTGGAGATTGGTGGCGGTTCTTATCAGAATGCTTTCCTGGACAAAAACAATAACGATCATTTGCCTATCTCACAGGAGCATAAGAAAGCTCATATTGGCAACTCCAATCATTTCAGTTCTCCGATCTGGTCAACTTCTAGTTTTTCAGAATGGAAGAATTCACCAGATGGTAATTGTGGAGAAAACTTCAACTTTTCCACTGATGGCCCTTTCCTTGGGAACAAGGAGCAGCAAACTCATAATCATTTAATAACTTCATCTGGATGTAATGATTCTGGAGCGACTAAAGGGAAGTCATCAACTGTTGCTATAGCTATACCTAAGAAAAATGTGGTATCACCTCCCCTGTCTCTGTCTCCTCTTGGTCCAAAATTCCCTGAAAGAATAAAATCTCCGGGCGGATGCAGAGATGTAAATAAAGAGTTAGATGACAACTATATAACCTTGAAGGATATGGAACAGTCGCTCGATGGAACTTTCCCTGGCATTTTATCTTCCAAAAAGGCTGAGGATTTTATGATGCCAAGTAAATTGTTTGAAGATTTTAATTATGTGCAGAAAAAGTTAGATCTGTTCACTCCTGAGGTTGTCACTGGCTCAGAATGTCATTGGGGTCAGGATTCAGAACTTACTTCTCAAAGTGTCAAATTGGTAAGAAGTGTCAGTGGACTGGCAGTTAGGAGGTCCTTGGTTGGTTCGTTTGAGGAGTCCTTGTTGTCTGGTCGGTTATTATCTGGAAAAGTTAGTCAGGTTAGCATTCTAACTTGTGATTTGAGGTGATAATGAAATTTTGTTTGGTTCATGGCATGTTCACTGGCCTTTTTACCTTTGCCCACTGTCTGTAGGCTAATAATTTTTTGTTTTGTCATCTTTAATATGCAGAGAATTGATGGTTTCCTGGCTGTTCTTAATGTGACCGGAGGAAATTTCTCACTGAAATCACAGAAACTTCCATTTTCTGTAAATAGTGTTGATGGCGATAACTACTTGCTATATTATTCATCAATAGATGTTACTGGACAGTTGTTATCAAACAATTCTAAAAGCCCCAAAATGAGAAGGAGCCTTAGCATTGATGACCCTCAAGCAGATAGGAGTCGCTTACGTATACCTATGAAAGGGCGCATACAATTGGTAATATATTCGTCAAGATTTTTTTAAGTGGTCAAATTAAAACATGAGTTCTGATTTTTTCTCTTTTTAATCTGGACAGTGGTTTATATTATAGGCTAAATCACATTACTTTAAAGGATTTTTGTCCTTATATCAATCTATTAGGAATTGTTTTTCATAGTGGAATATTGGGATGTACCCATGGCTGGCTAGCCTACTTGTATATTTGCTGTGGTTACCATTTGTGCATATTTATTATCATCATTTCTTCCTTCTTTGTCCTTTTATATTTCTGTACGAGAGAATGTTTTATAAAGATAGACAAAATCTCATTTAGGAATGAATTGTTTATGAAGATTTATTGCTATCTGTATGTCTACTTGCCATCTGCTCATGCTTTTGACTAACATCAAGATATTGCTTGCCTGTTGTTTTATACATTTGTATTTATATAACTGAGTTATTAAATTATTCTAGAATATAAAGATATACATAAATATTATAGATAGATGTCTTACACTGACAGACTTAATTGGTTGCAGGTTCTTAGCAATCCGGAAAAGACACCTATTCACACCTTCTTCTGCAACTATGATTTGAGTGACATGCCAGTTGGTACAAAGGTGGGAAAGGAAAAATAGATTCTAGTGCTTAATCGACATCTTTTTTTCTCTTATGTCTTATTATGTACAGCTACTTCCTTCAAGGTCTGTGTGTGAATTTATCTTACGTGATGCTCTTCCTATCCTTTCTGTTTTTCTCACTATGATAGAAAGTATGAAGCTTATAGAAATGTGGAATGATTAGTCATTTATATACAGCTTTTAACTTTTTATTGCCAGTATGGGAAGGGAGACTAATAGGAACTCTGCTACTTGTTTGTGGCAGCAGAGAATTGGCTTTTCCGATCTATGCTACTTGTATTTGGATGCTTGTACATTATTTTCAATATTTTTTAAAGTGATGTAAATAGGATATTTGGGACATTAGGAGGTCATGAAACTCTTTGGTAAGACCTGCAGAAAATTGCGAGTCCCTGAAAGAGGGAAACAAACCAATTGTTTTCATCGATGTGTAAAGCAAAATCATGGATCGGACTTCTATTTTATAATTTAGTTTTATACAGCAATGAGTTTTCTGTTGTTTTTCAATTATTTATATTCTCGGTATAAGGTGAGATTCTGACAATTGATGCTTCTCTTTGAACCTTGTGCATGTTTAAATAGACATTCATCCGCCAAAGAATCACTTTAGCCTCTTCTGCACCAACTTCTATACCTGAAAATGGAAGACAGAGAGATTGTGAATTAAAAAACCATGCCAAGCCATCTTCTGCTCCAAACATTAGTCAATCTTCACCATTTAGTGGAGTTTTTGCTTATACGAATGAACCTGATATCGTGCATAGACATCCGCAGGAGGGTCTAGGAGAGACTGAAATTAATGGTCCAGGTTATAATGGGAATCTTGCCAGCCAATCTTGTGGATCCAATGGTAGTGAATATATGAACTCAGGTGGGAAGGACCACAGCCCTTCAAATACATTCCTTGGAAGTGAGGGCAAATCTGTAAATAGACCTTCAAAGGTCAACAGGAACAATACTGGCACTGGTGTTCTGCGCTATGCTCTTCACCTCAGGTTTTTATGTCCTTGTTCTAAAAGATCTTCAAGATCAGTCCAGAGGTGCAAATCTGATACTTTAAGTGCACCAGTGAGTAACAAGAAGGATAGTGAAGCAGAGCGACGCTTTTACTTGTATAATGATATGAAGGTTGTATTCCCACAGCGCCATTCAGATTCTGATGAGGGCAAGGTATCGTGTCTCTGCGTGTTTTACTATTTGGTTCAAACTTATTTCCATTGATACTTCAATATGCGTGTCATTTGATTGCAAATGCTATTTGTTGTCCTTAGTATCATGAACACCCGATCTAGTGTATAATCCCACGGTCTGCTAGCATTTACTGGGCAGCTTTGCTGCCTAATACAGAAGTCAGATAGCATGCAACTTATGATTTTGTTAGATGTTTCATGGCATCCAAATACTAAGTGAGGCATGTTACATTTATGGTTTTGGATATTTTATGGGAAGTTATTTTGTTCCATTGCTAGAGTTAAGATATGGTTTTATTGAGCATCAATATTTGATTTTTTTTTTTTTTTTCCAATTTATTAGCTTAGAATCAATCTGTGTAACTGGGGTATGCTGTTTTCACATTGCAGTTACATGTGGAATATGATTTTCCTTCGCATCCCAAGTACTTCCCCATCAGCAACTGAAAATGCCCACTATGTCTTCTTCTTAAAACCTGTTCATACACCTCTGTAAATACCTGTACATGCAATTTCCTCTCATCTTATTCTCTGATTTGGATACAAACCCATTTTTATTTGTACATAATTAGATTATTAATTTATTGATTCATGATCCTTAATGCCTTGTCATTCTGTTCTCTCTATCCAAACCCACCTTTCTTATAAAAGGAGAAAGGAACAAAATAATTGATTAAAACTGTCCGAAAGGTCAGTTGGCTGATCGAAGATTTTGCTTCATCATAAAATTGGTGGTGCTTCTAATTAGAGTCAACTAAAATTTGGGTACCGACCTGACTCAATGAATTCAGTCCGGTTGTGGGATTATCTAATTTCCAGTTATAATTTTATAAATTTATTAATGATTTCGTTGCAACTTCTCCTTCGGATTTACCGTCTACTCCAATTTACCAACTTGACCCATTTGAAATGCAAAATGTATTTATGAATTGTTTAATTTTCTTTAAAATAATAGATTTAGAACTACTTTGCCCTGGCTCGACTCAACACTTGTCAGTCAACTAAATCTTTTATGTTTGTCGGTCCCCACACCATTACTCGTAGTCGTTGTCAATTTGGGTGTTCGTGTTGAGGATCATGGCCTGTTGATAACGTGAAAAACGTCGTACAGAAAATTTAAATATAAACAGTAATGTTTTTTAGTCAAATTGCCTTTGTTATATTTTTCCAAATTTCTATAAATGGCTAGGTTTGATAAGCATATTGCTAATACTGTGCTCGACCATTAAGCTTGGCTATAACCTAAAGGGAGAACGACTTTTTCACTCCCAAGGTTTGGCAAAATGACACTTTTCCATCCGTCAAGTTTCAAAACGACATTTTTCCACCCTCCGTCAAGTTCTCTTAGGGGCCGTTTGGTTCAGAGACTATTGGATTACCGGGAATATTGGATTACTGGAAAGTTAGATTACCTTGAAGATTACTGAGAATCTTTAGGAAAATATGTTTGATTAATTAGTGGGTATGTTATATTAATATGTTTGGTTGGGAGAAATAAATTGATGGATATGTTAGTTAAATTACTGAATTGTCCTCTAATTAAGTATTATTATTATATTATTTTTTAATATTGATTATTATTTGGTTTATATAACCCCCTCTGCATTTAAAAACTTAGCAAAAACAACTCCATAATAAAAATTTGGAAAATCAACAAAGCACCGCCACTGTCGGCTACCACTGTAGGCCGCCGGCAACCTAATGGCGCACGGAAGGCAGAAATGGTCTTTGTGCACCGTATGGCCATTTCCGGTCAGAGATCTAGCCAGATGTGACACATCTGGCCGTCGACGGCCAAATCGATGATGGATCTGAGTATCTGACTTTAATGGCCAGATCAATGACGAATCCGGCTGTCAGATCTGGCCATTTCTGACCAGATATCTGGTAAAAAATGGCCATATCGGTTTACGACGGCCATTTTCAGCCTTTCTTACGTCGTTTCGGTTGCGGTGGTAGCTGGCTGCGGCGGTGGTTGCCGGTGGCAGGTGGGTGGGGTTGTGGCTTGGGTGGGCTGCAATTTATTTTGAATTCAAGGGTAATTTTGTCCAAAATATTAATGAATTAGGGTGAAATAGTAAAAGCAACATTCATGTAAATAAATTTAAAAATAAGGTATTATTGTCCTAAAATTTTATTAATAAGAGATAAAATTGTAACAAAAAAAAGATTACCCTGGTAATATTACAATACCTAAGAAAATAGAGGTAATCATATTACCTCCAATATTACCAATAGTAACTACTATTGGTATTTGAAGATTATCGGAATCTTATATTACTTGACAACCAAACGTGATAATCAAGTAATATAAGATGATATAACCCTAGTAATCCCACGTTACCCCCAACCAAACGCCCCCTTAGTGTTTTCCGTTTTGAAGAAGGGTAATATGGTTAATTTACATCAAGCCGCAAAAATAAAAAATTGAAATCTAGGGTTTAGTCACTGAATGTTTGCCACGTTGCGGGAGGTTAACTCTGAAAAAAAAAATAACAATAAAAAGTTGCGTGTATTCTATCGTAACTCTCTCTCTCTACTCTGAGAAACTGAAACGATTGACCTAGAGTTCAATTGTAACTCTCTCTGCTCTCTGAAACTGAAGGGTTTTCTTCATCTTCTGTGGTAACGCTTTCTTTTGCTCATCGTACGTAATAAGGTTACACCATATTGGTTTCTTTTCCAAACACAACTGCCTTCTATTTTGGTGTCTTCTCGGGCTGAGATAAAGTGATCATGGTAGTGGTTTGAATGCAAGACAATTCTGCGGACTAACAAAAAGCTGATTTTGTGTTCTTCCTGTTCTTCGAAACTGAAGCGATTCGGGACTTAAGGTTGGCAACTAACAACGACGACTGACAAAAAAAGGTTTGAAAGGTGAGCGACGATTGGCTACGACAACGAGAGAAAAATAACGTCAACGACTACTGAGCTGAAAGTTGTGGGTAATCTTCTTTTTTTGTTGTTTTTATTTTAGGTTAAAACAAAATTGTTGTGTGTTTTTCATTTGGTTCTTAGTGGTTAAATTATAGAGCTTTTTAGAAGGAACAAAAAAAGGTTACGTTCTAGAGTGGAGTCCTTCTTGGTGCTAAATAAGGATTCTTATAATGACTATTAGTTTGTGAGGCAATTGTTCAACTTTTATCAAAGGTTTTCCAAGGGTATTAATGTTCGATCGTTTTCCATTAGTCTTGGGTACTTCCAATTATGCTTAACGAATTTCAAAATTTGTATTGCCATTGATGCCTTTTGTCTTGATGAGAATCTTCAGTTGAAGTTCCTGTGAAATTTTGATGCAATATTTTAAACCATTTAGTCTTCCGGATAGGGAATATTGAAGTTGGGGCTTCTAGTGTTCAAGTTAATTACATATTAAGATTTATTGATAGATAATGGGAAAGACTAATCTTGCATCAAATTGAAACAAAGACAATGCATTTGTGGAATATTTTATCAATTTCTAATCGATCTTAAAGAGTCCTAGAATTTGTTTTCAACAATGATAAGAATGTGAGTTTGCAGAGACCACAATAAGAAGCTATGGTGTTGATATATATTATTTCCGTGGATAACAATGTTCTTGTATTATTTTAATTATTATGAAATTGAAACATTTAAGTTTGTAGTACCATTGGTTGAAAATTGAGATCATCTTCGCTTGTAGAGGTTTAATTTACTTGTCTTTCAAGACTTTAAATATATGTGCTCAAGGACTTATCTCAAAACATATCATCTTATCTATTTGTCTTCACTAAATGCCATACTATTTTCGTTTAAATCTTGCTTACACAGGCAGCCAAAAACTATACTGAATTAGATGTTTGATTGCATTTTAAAAGTTGTTTAACTTAAAATATGTTCATTATTTTAATTTTCTCTTTGTCTAATTTGTGCAAAGCTGGAGGTAATATAGTTTCGTTATGCCCTCTATTAATAATCTGTTGTCAATGTGTATTATGATTGTAGGATCTCAATTATTGGAGGAAAGGAGTTCGATTTGCATTTGCTGTTTGCGGAGGTTACTTCTTGTGGGGGTATTGAGAAGGTAAGTTAAAACTTTTGGTCTGCAAGTAATGATTGTTCATATATGTCACATTTTAGTTTCTCATGCACCACCTTCCAAAATTAAAGGCAAAATCAAGACTTTCTGTACCCACTAATTCTTTTGTTTTCTAAAGAGATTTCAGTTAACCATGCAACAAAAATACATGTACAGGGTCAATTAGTTTATCATCTGTCTTAATATGTTATATTAACAATTTTTTAGAAATTTTTCTAGTACTTATTCAATGGTTGTTACATCATGATAGTTTAAGAAAATTATGATTATGTTTTTATGAGTATTTAATAGTACAGTCGTCTTTGATGGTCCATGAAATATTATCAAGCCTTATTGGTAGAGGTGGAACAAATGGGCCGGGTTAGGCAGGTCAACCCTAACCCGGCCCATAACAAAGCGGGTTGAACCCGGACTGCCAATATGGCAGTCTGGGTTAACCCTAACCCGACAGCAACCCCCGGGCAGGCCGGGTTGCAAAATGGCAACTCGCAACCTGACGGGTTGCTATTTTGTCTCTTTTAAAAGAGACCCGCCAACTCGTCGGGTTGGCCGAAAAAAATAAAAAAAATAATTTTTTTTTCAAATTATCCCTTTACCCTTGAAATATAGCCGTTTTATAGTTGTTGGAGGGGTCTTTTGTCATTTTTCTTTCCTATTTTTTTCTATAAATTGGGCCTAAACTCTCACATTTTTCTCACAACTCAAATTCTCTCATTCTCTCATATTCTCTAATCTCTAATCTCTCAATTATTCATTTATTCTCTTAATCTCTTTGTTATCATTTATCAATTTGCTCGTATTTTAATTTTTATTAGTTTTTGCAATTTTTAATTCATATTTCCAATTTTCCAAATTCTAAATTCCAATTTCCATATTCCAATTCTCTTACTTTAATTTTTATTTCTTCTACATCAATTTTTTTTTCACCTACAATGGATATATATTTCTCTCCCATCAATTACAATGATGAAGGAAACTACTATCCTAGTCCTAGTCCTGCTGATTTCACTAACATAAATGCAAGAGGAGATTCAAATAGTCTCGTTTTCCCATTCTCAGAATCCGATGGACCTCAAAATATGTCCCCGATTCCAACAGCTCCGGTGGTTCTAGAAGTCGTCCTCGTAATCGTCGTGCTCGTTCAACTTCATCTCAAGCTGAGGTGGGATCATCAACTGCCGTCGAAAGCGAAGACAGACACACATCTGACGTTTGGGCGCTTTTCGACAAGTTTTACGAGACAGAAAATGATGTTCAAGTCAAGAAAGCGAGATGCAAATACTGTGAAAATATTTATAAAGCTGATTCAGGTAATGGTACTAGTACTTTAAAAAGGCATGCTAATAAACATATTAATCAACATGGAAATAGAGAAAGCAATCAAACTCAAATAACTAATATGGGTCCTAATTGGCGTTATAATTCTGATGTATATAGGAAACAGTTAGCTTTATATATTGCTGCATCTGATCAACCTATTAATATGGCAGAAGATAAATATTTTGAAAGATTTGTTCAAAATTCATTTTTTC